AAAAAAATATATTACAAGAAGTGTTTTGTAGTGTGTGGGGCTCTCGTAATTCATTTGAACTAGAGTTTCAGAAAATCAGAAGGGCATAAAAGTCTTCCAAAGCAATGTACAGTGGCAAGGCTACAAAAAGCAAAAACAAAATTGTACAAATGAAATATTCATTTATTGATGATAGGTTTGCTACATAAACCAGATTTTTTTTGTAATCCTACCTCAGTTTTAAAAGCATTGTAGACTGTTTTCATACAAATTGTCCGGCAAATCTTGTAGTTTTTATATGGCTGAAGTGCTAGTTTAACTAGATCACATTCGCTATCAGTTTATGCTCTATCTTGGCTGTTCCTGAAAGGTTCCGGTGAGATTTGAAACGTTTTCTCTTCCATCATGTCGACGGTCATTTGAATTATTTTGCTTGCTGTGATAAATTATCGAGATGAACTCTTCTTCACTCCGCCATTGCTTTCTCCTGTATCAAATGTCTTCTTTGGGTCTAAATTCTCAGGGGCTGGCTCCTGAGGCTCAGCAATGGGCGGTATCTCTTTTATAAAGGGCAACTCTGGTATTGGAGGAGGCTCCGGTTCAGGGATAGGCTCAGGAAATGGGGCCCACTCATCCACGGGCTCCGCCTCCCTATCACCAGCTTTCTCTCGATCGATTATAGCCGGTGGGATTGGTGCGGGTGGTGGTAAGTGTTCTAATCTTTCCAGAGGCTCTGGTGAAAATTCACTTATCTTTGGTAAACGAGGAAAACGGAAAAAACGCTCCGCCATCAGTGAAATCGGAAATGTTGGCCATCGTTGTGCCATGGGCAACCTATGGAATTGCATAATACTCGATAGCTTAGGCATATCTTCATAGTCTTGCTGCTCCTGTTCGTCTGGATAGTCGCTGTAAGGGGAAATTTCGGGAGATCTTATATGAAGATATGGCGACCGCCATCTGTGATGATAATGATGATGATGATGACGATGGTGATAAGGCAACGACCGTTTGGTCTTCAGTAGCCTGGGTTGAGAGAATGAGTAGGCTTCGTTATAATCACGCCTAGTCTTAACCCGAAGTCTCTTTGAACTCAAAACCGCCACCTTGTGTCCATGCTTCTTGTGCGCATTCTTTGAAACTTTCGATCTGCGAATGTTTAATCCAGTGTCTCCGATCTGCTCGTAGGAGGGCAACTCACCCTCAGACACCTCCATATTAGCAAACTCAGACGGTAGACCCGTGAAGTCATAATCCTTGGACAGAACAGAGCTCTGTTGAGTTAGCTTCTCAATCTGTTTTATTGTAGATTCCTTCTCCATTTTCTCGTCTCTGGTTCCAAACGACGGCGAGTAATCATCGAGTAGATGCTCTAACATGCTGTGTTCGCCTGGATCTCTTCTGCTCAATTCTTCGTCTAAATCACGGTTATTAAATGCATCAACGTCTTGTATGTCCGGGCCTGAGTTTTCTGAGTCCATAAAACGCTCCTCCCTGTGAGCTCCTTTTTTGCGCCTCTCTCTGCTCTCATCTCCCCAACGTTTAGCACTTCCATGCGCCTTTTTCCTCCTGGTCGAAGAGGCCTCGTGGTAGGAAATGTCACTTCTTTTATACGGTAACGGATCTCCTAAGATTGAAATTAACTGTCTAGGATCAGTGTGAACCTCTTTCCCTGTAGATGTACCCCCACTGGGTCTGTATGATGGCTCGGAGTATAACAGTGTTTTTCTTCGTAAAATGTTCGTAGTGTCGCCTGGAAGCACAAGGCCGCGTTTACCCTCAGAGGAATCCGTTTGAGGGCGCGGTATGGGATTACGCGACGTCTGATCTCGCCGAAACACCATCGCACTTTCATAATCTGGTATCACAAACTTTTTCGACGTTGATATACCTTTTCCGTATAACATCTTCAGCTTTTCCTGATCATGAAGAACTCTTGAGACCAGATTACCTTCCTCAGTAACCCTCGTCTCCTCCATGTTTGGATGAGTTTTGAAATTTAATATCGCTTCGATGGAATCTTGCGCTGTAACGAGGCTACTCCTTCGTTCAACAGGCCTCTCTGCCGTGCTAGATTTTTTCACCCCTACTTCCTCTTCAGGTATCTGGGGAGTCGCCCTGTGTGTCGGTCGTCCAACATTGATCCAAATAAACCTATGACTCAGTCTATTTGCTGTTGCTGATTTCTTCAGACTCTTTGAATCAGGGTGAGGGATTGGGCTGGCTGATGTTTGGAAGAGCCTTCTCCTTCCCTCGGTTGGGGCTCCGTGTACAGTAAACTCCTTAATACCTTAGTACAAGAGAAGAATAAGGAAAACACGAAAGGCAATGGCGTACATTTTTAAAAACCTCTGGTCTTTTATTTTACTATAAAGAAGATAAAATTACAGGTTAACTAGCCTGCTACGCAGGCGTTTCCAAACATGCACGCGCAGGGAACAAACCTGCGAGCGACTGCGAAAAATACATGTACCCAAAGCGCGCTCCTTCGCTCGCCCGTTTGCTCGCTCGCTTGTTCAAACTCTCCGCCAAGGAAAGAAAAGGAAACGTTTGCTGCGCAGGCTACAGATTAACCAGTAGACTACTCTGCAAAACCTCTCTATTCTGCTACACATTCGTTCAGTAGTTAGACAGCAGTGCTAGCGCTATTGAAAAAACGGCGATTGAAAATTGAAGACTTTAAAAAGTTTACCTTTGAACAGTCTAGTTAACAACTAGATATGTCGGTTGTGGTAAAACGTAATATAATCACAGGACTATAACACGTTTAGTGAAGAAGACCAAAGAAATATAAAAGATTTACAGTTTATCTTTCCTTAAGACAACTTTTGCAGTAACAGGTAACATATTTTCAAGGGCGTTCTTTTGGTCAATTTGTTAATTAGACACCTGTTTCATGGATCATATGGTTAGTTTCAAATGTATTTTGATTTTCGTTTGGGTCTCCGCATATCTGCCCGATCTTATGTCTGAAAATATATCATCATTTTATTCTTTTATTGAGAAACGGTGTGTTTCATTTAGAAAAAAACATTCTTGGCGAAAACTGAACCAATTCAGTCAACTGATGTGTAGCTGAGTTAAGCGTAACTCATCAAAACAAGGGTCTTGACAAGATCTGATACAATAAATAAGCACTTTAGTTAATATTAGAATTGCAACAAACAAATATCTTACCTTCGTTTAAAATTACAACAATTAGCAGCATCGATGTTTGTATCGCTTGAAGCTGTCGCCTTACATGCCTGTGTTTTGCCAGGAAAATCTCAGGAAACATTTTCATGGTACAAAATATCTTGCGTAGTTTTTCCAGAGCTTTCGAAGAACAAGCCGCATTCAATGACAGGCGAGCATTGATTCCGTAGCGAATGGTATTTCTTTTAAGGAAAAAAACATCGATCTTGAACGGTCGCACAACTAAAAAATATATTCCGTAGAATATAACAGCTGAGTACCTAGGGACATTTTAGTTAAGTATAAATAATAAATGGCCAAGACATCACGCTCACTGATCCCGGAGATTCTTGTCGAATGAGTCAGTTCTATAGAATGCGACTCACTCCGGCGAAGTACAGAGCTTTCAGCCCCTAAAATAATTCTCAATGCGTAAATCTCTGTCGGAAAAACGACTCAAAAAGGGTAACTGATTCACAACTGGTAAAGTTTAAAACTACGAGTTTGGTAAAAGAAATAGCAGACCTCATACCCCCACCCTCTCCTTGATAGAATGTGGATGGACATCGCAGGTTAAACCAGCCACTACCCCCTACTGAACCTCTCTATACTCCTGGGGAGAGGGGTTTGGGATGAGAAACGCAGCGAGGGTGAATCGTGTTGTTGTCTTGGCCTGTAAAATAGCGCTAATGTGGTTGTCCTGTAAAACTTCACATATTTTTATCTTCGTTATACAGGGGAAGTCCGTTAATTCGGTCAGCTACGGGCCATGAAAATTTGGCCGTGTTAACGGGGTAGGGTCAAATTTCACGACTGGTCTAAACTGAGCAACCTCTGATCAGATATATTACAATTGCACCTCCAAACAAAACGGGACAAAAAAGGTGGCCGTAATAACGAGGTGATCGTATTAGCGAGGTGACCGTAAGGCGGGGTTCCACTGTAGCTAGAAAATGCACATTTCTGAACGAAACTGACAAACACTGTCAAAAACTAATCTTCAGCAAGTACCCGGAGAGGTACTCCCAGAAAAATTGGGTGGGGGCGTGGGGCCCACTTCCCAAAACCCTTACCCTATTTATGACCAAAATCTGCGATATATTCCCTATCCTATTTATGACCTGACCAAAAATTTGAAACCCTATTTATGGCCTGACCCTTAAATCAAAACTCTGTTTCAGACCTGCGTTATAATAAGTTCCCTAGACCAATGTTAATTACCGTAAACATAATTTGTGAAGGGCTTTTGTGATTTTCTCTTGCTTTTTGATAATAATGAAAAGGTGGCTTCTTCTTAAAAACATACCCATATCAAGGTTAGAGGGCGAAAACGAAAAATGGCCAAAGTCAGCTAAAATCTATACCCTATTCACGACCAAAACGGCTGAAAAACCATACCCTTTGGATCCGCACATAGCTATATAGCCCATACAAGGGAGTACCCTCCCCCCGCCCCGCACCTTGGGAGCATACTTGCACATGCCAGACTGCGCGATTATTTGGTGTGTGTTACATGATAGGTTACTTCACCGCTGACACACCTCCAGCCTGTTGCGTAATCCCAGTAGTGGACGGGCTGGCGTGGAGACCACGAGGGTGATGCAAGGGTGAAGGAGTAATATACGACGACGGGATAAACGGACGATTCTATCTCATGAACCTCCACAACCAACCATATTCTGTCTCTGAACTTTAAGATAGTAACTACTGATTTCTGGTAAGTTACTTTGCGAATTCTAAGATAAAATCATGTGAAGTACATTTCGGTCACAACGATAGAGGTTTCGTATGAATGATCTGATCCATTGCGAAGGGAAGTCCGTTGTCAGCGTTTACTCTTATTGACAAATTTCCTTAAATTTATTCCAGCTTAATTAAACATCCCGTAATTGGCAACAGGAGAAGATTTTTTGCCTTCTTAAATGCGACAAAAGATGGCCACGAAAGCAAATGCAAATGTTTTTCACGTGGCGAGGGAAATGATATTTGGTTCGCCGTCACGGTGCCTTTGCGTTGCAGAATAAGTGACCTGACGCAATGCAATCACTTCTTTCTCTGACAACCACTATTCATGGCTGGCTTACATATTTTTCACTTACAGTTGTCGTCCATTGACAGAGGAAGGGTGAAAGAATTCTTCAATCACCGTGTTTTATTTGGTTTTTGTTAGTTTGGGAAAAAAAAAATGCCGGCTGTGACGGGTCGCATCGACGAGGAGAACGTGACTGAAGGCACAGGAAAATTACACTGCCCTCATATGCGAGAGAACACAGACCCCGACACACCACAGATAGAAGAAAAGAAAGAAAAAGAAATCAAAGAGCAGGCTACTCAATTGGACGAGACAGGTAAGAAATTAAATCGTTTTTATGCAGTATTAATGAAATCTCTTACTCTTTAACGTTGAATTTGCATAAAATTGTTTGTTTAGTTTTGTTGCAATGTATCATACCTTATGTCTTGTACAGTACCATGCCCAAACAACTGAGCTTGGAATTATTTCCTAAACACATTTGTAACGTTCTTGTATTGGAAATTTGAGGAGAAACCACTAGAAATTGTAATTGCAGGCACTCTCTTGTAATCACAGTAGTTGATTTGTGTAACCCCTAACAATTTGGTACCCCGGTGAAATGTCAAATACGATGTGATTAAATATTCTGTTTTTGTTTGTCGATCAGTACGATTGTCTCCTACAAACTGCTGTTTGTGAAACGTCATCTGTACATAGAAGTGTGTTAAATAATTAATCAGTTGACTGTAAAACGTAATTATGACGTACTCTTGTTCTTTGGCTTGATAGATGTTACTTTATTCTCCCAAGTCACCACAAGAGTACAAATTGAAATTCTGTGTCATACTTTTTCTTAACACCCTCCTATTTTTTAGGAGAAGAAGTATGATAAATGATCTTACAAAATGGCTTTTAGATTGTTATGCAATTAAATGTTTGAATTGTGGTCAAAGGTGAAAGCTCTTAAAATATACTTTAGACATTGCTCATCATGATTATCTCCACGTAAATTAGTGTAAAATGCATAGTTTCACTGAACGTATGAAGAAACTCCTACGTGCATGTAATGGAGATTAGTTATCTGATTTAATGACAGTATCAATGCTTACACTTGCAGGAACTAAAGATAATGTTATTCAGTCTGGAACAGTTAATTTGCATTTTTTGATTCCTGGGACTAGTGAACCCATTTCTGCCACAGTAAGTGTATTGTGTCTCTCTTTGCCTGTGGTTTTTCTGTGTGAGAGGTATCTTGTCTGTATTGATGATTGGAGAGTTCATTTAGAGACATCTGTGTAATTACTGAACTCAGTGCTATACCTGACCACAGCAACTTTACATAATTTTCAGTGTTAGTCTATACAGTTGGATGTGTATTAGCACCTCTCTACAGTGGCTAGGGTCTCTC